CAAAACAACCAAAGTTAAATTTAGGAAAAATGCCAACTTTGCATCAGAGGACATCAAACGTTCTTACCTGTACTGGACCACCATCATGTTCTGCTCCCCACAGTGTCTCGCACAGCGGATGTACCTCATCCAACTGGATTTACTGGGATCGTTTCCATCTATAAAGTGCTGCAACGTTCCCTCTGCATCATAGATCTAGAGCACACAGAAACAATGGTGTATGTAACTGGCATTTCAATTAGTTTTTATTCAGTTAAAACAGTTTTACTAGTTTAAATTGTACAGTGTTTTTTTTTCCAGAATGAGTTTCCACCTTGACCCACTGTTGGTCCAAATTGGGCCCCACAAGTACCAGACTGGTACCTAGACCTATAGATGGGACCAGTTCCTACTGCGTCAGCCTGGTTAGCAGGTCTGGTATTACAGAGTCACCAAGAAGAGACACAAAAACATTAAAACAGTCGAACCAAATAAAATGATAAAAACTGTAAAATTTCTGTAAAACATGATCATTTGACATTTTCCAGCTTAAGTAAACGGATCAGTCACGTTTATGAATGAATAAATGAATAAATGTATTTCTATTCATTAGAAATGTATGTATAAATACAGACCCTATCCCATTCAGTATGTTTCTGAATGTTGTTTTTATTTGGCTTTGTCAGGACGGCTTCTTTAAACTCAGATTATAATTTAATCTGCAGACCTGGATGCTCAGCAGCACAGAAGCGACTCATTGATCTCGACTTTAGGTGGAAAACATGATGATGAAACTCGTACATCAACAGAAAGCCGAGGATTCACAGCTAATAGTGATCATAAGCAGTTAAAGCGTTTCCATCTCACCCAGCCTCTGTGTGTGTGTGTTAGTGTGTGTGTGTTCATTATTAATCCATCCCTCCATCCATCCGTGGTGATGCAGTGAGACTGTATTGAGGAGGCGTCAAGTGTGTTTATAAGGTGATGACCTGAGCCAATAGCCGGCCTCTGTTCTGTCCATACAGCCTGCAAACAATCAATGCAGTAAATGACTGTGAGAATCAAAGCAAACAGCCTCATTCATTATTCTCAGTATGTCGCACTGTAACGTCTGTCACTGTCAGACTGTCTGCAGACTCTCAGGTTTTATCTGATCTGTTAGAAACCCAACAGATTCATCACTGAACAAGAGGAGTCGACCTCAGAAACATGAAGCAAACCAACCTTTATGGGGGAAGTCAGCTCTGATGAGCCAATCTGCCCAGTCAAAGTGTCCTGTGCTGCAGCTACATCCATCAGTCAGGTGATGTAATTCATTACACCTGTTACCCATCCAAGCCTCTCATCCTGTAACAAGTCGGTCTTAATCAGGAGTTAAGGTAATTTTTTTTAATCAACCTTGATGGTGGCTGAAGGTTTATTGTGTCCACGTTTTAAGTGGTTGTAAAGTTTACGATGTGCATCCATTCCTAAATGTTTTGCTCACATAAATGAGCTCTGATCGAGGCAGAGGGAGAGACGACTCATCCTGCTTGTCTGTCTGTGGTCTGATGTCCATTTGGTGAAGATTCATCACTTTAAGGCTGCATTCCCACCGGCCATGCTTCCTTCACTTTAATCCAACTTCAGTCCATTTGTCCAGAAGGTCCGGTTCGTTTGGGGAGGTGTGAATGTGTGATCAAACTCTGATGTGGACCAAAAAAGCAAATTCTGGTCCTACTCTGGTCCACTTCAACTCTGTTTGGTTGAACTGAACTGTGGTGCAGCTTAAATGCATGTGAACGCCAAACAGACAGTAGCTTGGTCCAAAAGCAGGAAGTGGACTAACGCGCAGGGCATTCTGGGTAAATACAACCAAAACAAACGTGTTATTTTAGCACTAGCAGAAGAAATGACTTGTGGTCTTTTACCAAAGACAAAAAAGGGAAATTCTCCAACAGCTAAAATCTGATTTGTGTTTACGTTTGGCGAAGGAAGCTGCGCTCAGCGTCTTCAGAGGTTTTTGTGTCGTTTCCTTCAGTGGTGTTTTTTGCAGCGCCCCCACAGGTGAGCAGGGGAACAGGTTTATCAACTGGTTTGGTTGGTTTGACACAGTGCAGTGTGAAAGCAAACCACAGCAGCTGAAAATGTAACAATTTTGGTCCCCAATGTAACCAAATCGACCATAAGGCGGGTAAACAGCCTAAGTAAAATGAAGATGAACTCTGGGATGATGTTGTGGCTGTTTGGCCTTATAAATATTCTGGCATCCAAAGGAAAAGGGGGTACATGGCAAAATTCACCAACATAGACTCCCTGCTGGTGCTTAAATCTGTGCTGCTAGCGATTTAAATGGGGATGTTATGAATAAAACTCAAATTAAGAAAAAGGGAGGAGAATCTCCTGCCGGTAATAAAACTCTCTGTCTGATCCCATCCTGACCACTTCAGTCAGTCAAAGCCTTACTGCCACAACACCAGAGTATGTGGGTCCATTTTAAATAAACTGAACGCATGTTCACATATATTACAGACATTTTAAAACTCTTTAGTGTTTAGGTCAGTTTGTGTTTGAACCCTGTATTTTTCCCAGGCAGTGAGAGCGATCAGAAGGTCTTTATTGTGACGCTTTTTATCGCCTGAGAAACTTCCTGCTGCCGGTACAGTAATGCTTCTGAAGCTAACAGCTGGTTTCTAGTTTCATGCTGTTTTGTCAGGTTTTTTGGCCGCTTGTGTTTATCGAATCCATCGCTGAGAAATTCCATCTGAAAGACAAACGACCAAAGATCTCGTATTGTTTAGTTCAACGGCTACAAAATGTTGCAAACGCTGCCAGGCTCACAGCTCCAAGCTGTCATTTTTCTGTCCGAGCACAAAAAGTTGATCTTTTTGTTGTTGTTGTTAAAACTCCATAAATTATTCTAGTTCAGCTTCGGCTTGTGTTGAACAGATGCAGCACAAAGCTTTATTTTCACACACTGAGATCATCCTTTTCTCACAACCTTCACAGTTCAGCTGATTATCTCAGCATCTTCTCTCTCGTCTGATCAATTATCAGAACAGGTAAAGGAAATACTCTGTTCCATCCTTTAACATTTCTCTATCCAAACAGTCTGATGTCTTATTATTTAACAGTTCAGGACAAAGAAAGAGGATCAGTCTGAATATTTTCTTAAATATTAGAATATGAATTTATTAGTCGTTGCTGCATTCTACTTAATTTTAGGAAATAATTCTCAATATGTATCAGGAAAATACTTGATCAGCACAACAGAGAATAATGTTAGTCGTAAGTTGATCAGTCAACTTTAGACCAACATTAAAGAGACATTATCGATTGACTAATGATTAATTGAAAGCAGTCGTTTTCTTAAAATCCTGAGTTTTGTCTTGTATCGGCTTCCTTCTAACATCAATGGATATTTATTCATAATTTCCTGAATTTAAAAAAAGAAGTACATCTGCTATATTTTAGCAATTATTGTGTCAGTTGTATTAAATACTGACTGAATAAACAGAAAATTGTGGTTTTCTCACTTTATTAACTTTGACATATTTATAAAACATAACAAAACAGGAACTGGGCTGCATTTGGGCCATTTAACTTTCCTGTTCTGGGATGCCACTGCCATGATTATTTCCCTTAGAACCATCAACAGGTTCTGCTTAAGGATGAGCAGCAGCGCCCTCTTCTGGATGACGCCAAACTACAACACTGAAAGAAGCTCCAAGCAGATGTTATCAGTTAATTATTTATTCTAATAAACCATTAATTGATAATTAATCATAAATCAATTATTTGTATCCCTACTGTTAAATATAAATATTTCAAATAAATATTTCTTCTAAATTGTCTCAATTATAGTACATTAAAAAATATTAGTACAAGTACAAGAGAACACAAATCTAAAGTAGATTTAAACATAAAAGAACAGGAAACAAATACTGGATTCTCTTAAAATGAAAATCTCAGACGTTGCCTGTCATTTCATTAATTTAATAAATACAACTGGGCAACAGGTAAAATGTCCAGGTTCCCTCATGTTGCTCACCTCTGACACCATAAGNGTGCTGGGCAGGAATGTGGGCTGCAGGCCAACCACAGCCTGTCCTTGACGGCTTCTAAACAAAGCCCAGCTCGGCCCGTTTCCTTCGCCCGAACACTCGGTCCGGTTTACGGCACACAGACATGACATCTGTCCATCTGACTGCATATGTGCAGAAATGACAGAATGACAGTAGTTTGGTGTGCTTCTCATCAGCAGGCGCTCTGTTGTTACTGCACACACTTCTGCAGACATGCAGGCAGTAAACTGAGACAGCAAGTCGACTGAGAGGTCAATGCCAACCAGAGATCGCTCTTCTGTAAATACAGTCAGTCCAGCTGAGAATGCCTCCTGCATGTAATAGTCTGAGTCTGAAAGGCTTCTTTCAGATGAGACAAGGACGGCGCTAACCACAGAGCAGTTGCTGGGTTTCTGCAGGTGTCATCAACTTAAATTTAAGGTTTTTAAAAACCTTTTTAGTACCATTATGACTGAATTTTTCTTCACACGGAATGCATATAGTGTCTTATAGGTTTGCAACAGAAGTGAGTCAGTGGCGAAGAACATCATCCAACCAAGTGTCAATAAATACACTTACGATACTGTAGGTAAAAAAGCTAGGTAGCTAGTTGGCAGGGGTATAATTAGCAGCTGGTTAGCGGTAGCCTCAAGTGCTTTAAGTCACTGAACGTTGTGATGTCTGCATGTGAATCAAATGTTTTGCTTGACTGAAAAGTGAGAAAAAATAAACTACATAGAATATGCAAGATCAAATAGTCCAGCCACTACAAAATTTAAGACTTGTGATTAACATATTTAAGGTCAACCTATTGGACTTCCATAAACTTAATTTTTTTAATAATTAATTTTTAACATTAAAAATTAATTACATTTATGAATCCTTAATTTTGGATTCATAAATGTAAGGCTTTTTAAGAAGCTGATATTTTGAGTTATTTGAAAATAACCGGACTTATAATAAACAGAACTTACTCTAATGTGGAATACTTATTTTAAGGAGCATCGCAAGCAGATTGCAGTGAACACTGGATGCCATCTAGTGTTCAGTTCTTTTAATGCTCTCCAAATGTGTCAGTCATTAAATACATTAGAGGAATCGGTTTTATGTGAAATGTTTCATCCCCTGGTTTTCATTAAAGTATATGAAGTTGAGAACTCTCAATTTGAAGTG